TTGTAGGGATATTTCAAGTATAGAGTTTCTATTCATAAATTTTTATTCGAATCATTCGTTTGATTCCTTTATTCGTTTTATTCAAATTATTGAATTATTGAATTAGAATTAATTCGTTTCATTCAAATTATTCGTTTATTCGAATAATAATAAATATTCAATGTAATCCGAATACTCAAATTCATAACGAATAATTCAAATAAACTTTATTCGAATAAAAACTCTACTCAAGTAGTATAATGATTTTAGTTTAATTTAAACATTATTATTGACTGTGTGCCAGATTTGGTGACTTCGTAATAAATAATTCGGATTGCACGCTCGCAATATTTATAGGCAGTAAATAGTTACAGCATTACGGTTTATGGTTTACGACTTTTTCGACTTTAGGGTGTCATGCCGAATCTATTTACTTAATGCAGAATTGTTCGGTAGATTTGTGACTGTTTTGAAATAAAATAAAAATACAAGTGAAAAAAAAACATTCTAAAAGAAAGCATAAGAGTTCGATGAATTTTTTCAACAAAGTGACCAATAATCATTCCTGATGGTCTTTCTATTGACAAAAATGATTATGATGAATATTCATGGAAAAGAAAAGAAATGTATGGGAAATGTCCAACCTGCAATAGATTTAATACTGGTTGGACATGGTGTGATCAAAAGCTATTAACTGAAGGACGGATTACTGGCAATAAAACATTAGATGAGTTGTTTAAAAGTACACAACTTAAAGCAGGAGATTGTTATAACGATTATACTCAATGGGTTCCTTATAATGATCTAGCAAATATTGAAAAGGTAGGTGATGGCGAGTTTGCAGCTATATACAAAGCTACTTGGTTAAATGGTGATAAAAGTGTAAATTATGATAATTATACTAAACAGTAAATATTAATGTTAATAAAGATTTTTACATTAAAAAAAATTTTTTTACACATTTAAAATAATATCATTTCAAATAAAACTTTTAAATAAATTGACTACCATTTGTGTGATTGATTCAATCAATAATGCTAAATAAACAAATAATACCATTCATTGCAAGAGTGGAATAAAATAATTGTTTTTTGAATTATATATCTTTGTTAGATAAAAATAAACATGACTTAGCTTTTTTGTTATTATTTAATCATTTCCTTGTATGTGAATGTCTCCATCCATGATGATTTTGATGCTTATTCAATACATTTGATGTTGTCATTGACATGACAAACAATTGCATCACCCAAGCAGTAATGATACCAAGGCCATGCAAAAATGAAATTTTTAATAATGCGTGTCTACCCAGATCTCTGGGATTCACAAAATAAATTATTTTTCTGATTATCAATTATGATTCTTTATGAATAATAAATCTGATATTGATTGCAGGTGTCAGATTTAATTAAAATTTCCTATCACCAACATGCAACGCGGTGCTATTAACACGCCTGTATCCATGGAATTTTTTTAACAAACTTTTCTAAACTTTTTGGTTCCACAGAGAGGTTTCACACATGTTGGAAGGCTTTGCACAAAACTTTTCCTCAAACCAGGATGGATGCCACCCTATCCACTAATAATGCTATTTTTTTAAAAGGTAGATATGGGCATTAATTGCTGATGAGGTCCAGCATTTGTGATGATTGCACCCTTCTAATTTGAATAAAGTTGGTATTGTTGGTATTAAGCTGGCTGAAAATTCGTCTCCAGGGCCATGCCCTCCCCCCCTGGAATTTGGTTGCATCATTATATCCTCGGGGAGCGCAAGTCAGATTAGCCTTATGTACATGAGGAAGATGAGAGAATGACTGTAAGTGTTCAATGTAGCGTGTGTGCTTCAACACCTGCCAATTTCTGATAATCAAACATTGCATATTTGAATTAGTTCTTTTTCAATGGTGTATTGCCTTGACATCTTCTTGTAATTATAGCACTTTGATAACTAATTAATAAGGCTAATATAATTGACTCATAGTCCTTTCTGATGATTGATGGTTGGGCCAACCTTTAATAATTAGTTAGGGGCCATTGTTAGTTTTACTATATTGCTTGTAGGGATATTTCAAGTATAGAGTTTCTATTCATAAATTTTTATTCGAATCATTCGTTTGATTCCTTTATTCGTTTTATTCAAATTATTGAATTATTGAATTAGAATTAATTCGTTTCATTCAAATTATTCGTTTATTCGAATAATAATAAATATTCAATGTAATCCGAATACTCAAATTCATAACGAATAATTCAAATAAACTTTATTCGAATAAAAACTCTACTCAAGTAGTATAATGATTTTAGTTTAATTTAAACATTATTATTGACTGTGTGCCAGATTTGGTGACTTCGTAATAAATAATTCGGATTGCACGCTCGCAATATTTATAGGCAGTAAATAGTTACAGCATTACGGTTTATGGTTTACGACTTTTTCGACTTTAGGGTGTCATGCCGAATCTATTTACTTAATGCAGAATTGTTCGGTAGATTTGTGACTGTTTTGAAATAAAATAAAAATACAAGTGAAAAAAAAACATTCTAAAAGAAAGCATAAGAGTTCGATGAATTTTTTCAACAAAGTGACCAATAATCATTCCTGATGGTCTTTCTATTGACAAAAATGATTATGATGAATATTCATGGAAAAGAAAAGAAATGTATGGGAAATGTCCAACCTGCAATAGATTTAATACTGGTTGGACATGGTGTGATCAAAAGCTATTAACTGAAGGACGGATTACTGGCAATAAAACATTAGATGAGTTGTTTAAAAGTACACAACTTAAAGCAGGAGATTGTTATAACGATTATACTCAATGGGTTCCTTATAATGATCTAGCAAATATTGAAAAGGTAGGTGATGGCGAGTTTGCAGCTATATACAAAGCTACTTGGTTAAATGGTGATAAAAGTGTAAATTATGATAATTATACTAAACAGTAAATATTAATGTTAATAAAGATTTTTACATTAAAAAAAATTTTTTTACACATTTAAAATAATATCATTTCAAATAAAACTTTTAAATAAATTGTCTACCACTTGTGTGATTGATTCCATCATTAATGCTAAATAAACAAATAATACCATTCATTGCAAGTGTGGAATAAAATAATTATTTTTTGAATTATATATCTTTGTTAGATAAAAATAAACATGACTTAGCTATTTAATCATTTCATTGTATGTGAATGCCTCCATCCATCAAATATTCATGATGGTCATGATTATTATGCAATATGTTTGATATCATCATTAACATAACAAACAATTGCATCACCTAGGTAGTAATGATACCAAGGCCACCCAGAAATGAAACTTTTAATAATGCATGTCTACCCAGGTCTCTGGGATTCACAAAATAAATTATTTTTCCTGATTATCAATTGTAGTTCCCATTGTGTAGTTCCTTATGAATAATAAATCTGATGTTGATTGCAGATGTCAGATTTAATTAAAATTTCCTATCACAAACATGCAGTCAGGTGCTTTCACACGCCTCAGTACCATGAAATTTTCTCCACAGTTGAAGCACCCCACAAGTTGGAAGGCTTTGGACAAAACTTTCCCTTATCTTCCCTTTAGACCAGGCTTGCCTGTTATCAATTGGGGCATTGATCACAGATGAATATCAGCATTTGGGTGATGATCACTTTGTGTTATACCCCTCTTGAATAAAGTCAGTGTCTGCAACTGTTTTGAAAATTCTCCAACTTGGGAGGTTGCAACCTGGGTTGTTGTTTTGGATTTTCCCTGAATTCAGAGTTTTGAGTTCTGGGTTGCTGTCTTGTTGGTGGCATGTCTACTCACCAACAACCTTACCCTCATTTAAATAACAATCCAGTTGGTCAAATAAAAATTAAAGAGAAGCAGAGCATTTATAAAAATGATTAATTTATACATAACATACCAAACAAATCTGAACCATTTTATTTTACTAATATCAGGGCCACCAACTCCATTCTGAATTGCAACCTCCTGTGCTTGAAACAAGTTATTGCTTCAATAGACCTATATGTTTACATAGCACTACAATTCATCAACAGAGTTGTGACCTTGTCGCAGATCCATCATTAGAGGTAGGATCGTTGCAGACAGCTTTTCATCTAACATGGCAGCAGCCTTCTCTGGTCTGGGAAGATTAGTGAAAAGTGTCATTGATGATTGATGCAGTCTCGGTGAACTCCAGGGCCATGCTACCACCCCCCTGGAATTCAGTTGCATCATTGTATCATCGGGGGGCGCAAGTCAGATTAGCCTTGTGCAGACGACGAGGAAAATGAGAGAATGGCTATAAGTGTTCAAGGTAGTGTGCGTGCTTCAACGCCTGCTATTTTCCTGTAATCAAACTTCGCATACTCAGAATGTTTCTTTTTCAACGGTGTGCTGCCTTGACATCTTCTTGTGATTATAATATTTATAATAGTATTATTAATTATGCAAAGCAAAATATTATCAATGAAAATCTTGTAATTACCCAGCAATGATCTGCTCAGTGTCTTGATTCCATTTAAAATATTTATAAACCAAAAGAGACAATACAAATAAAAATAGTACCTCTGGTTAGTTATTAACACGTCTTCTTTAGGAGACCCAAGCCAAACCAAGCCAAAAAACAACACATGTTTTGTCACCTTGGACTCTGTCAAAAAAAAAAAAAAACCAATTCGCGTCTGTCCTACCAAAAAAAAAACCAATAGTAATAGGATAAATAATTAGATGTGTTTGTTTTTGTTGATCAAATAATCTTTTTTTTAAATTTCTTATTTATAGAAACATGTTGAGAGTTAAAAATTTAAGGAAAAGAAGCAACAATAAAGGAATTGCTGATGATCGTGGGTAAGTGTTTTAAGGATGATGGTGGTGGTTATTGCTCACCACTCGCCGTCACTCTAGTTATTTAAAAGAATGGTAATGGTGGTTATGTCCATTCATCATTAACTCTAGTTAATAAATAACAAATAACCATATTAATAGTTTGTTAAATTTAAGTCAACTAATTAAAATTTTGATCTTTTATGTTTATTTATTTCTTTAGAGGACCACTTAGACCGTCAAATAAAGTATGTAATATGTAATCATATGGGTAGGATTGGCTATTTTGTTTTTATAATGATTTTGTTATTAATCCAATCTCCAACTACAGGAAAACGAATTGATAAGAAGATGAAATATTTAAATTAAAAAAACGAATTACAGAGCTAGAAAAAGGTAGAGATCTCATGATGAAAATGTTAGGTTATGCGTTGGAGTTTGATTAAAGATAGGAATCGACTATAATTGGTATACTTACAACAACTATAATTAACTTGTTTCTTTTTGGTTTCCTTCTCTATGTTATATAACTACTAATTTTGTAATTCTTGGAGTTATTTCGACTGAATCATCAAGTATTTTCTTTTCCTCATATAATTCTGAAAATCATAATTTGATTAGATGTTCACTCTTATGCTAACATTCATGTTTATTTTTATCCCTTTTTTTTTTATAGAAAAGAGGAAGGTAGAAAATAATGAATTGGAACGTCACATCGAATTTCTTAAGAAATTGCCAGTTTCAAGCGACCTTGGAAAGAATGGAAAGTGGATGTCGTATGCAACACAACCTGACAACATTGTGCATAATTATCGTCCTTACGATAATCACAATCTCCCGTTAGCAATCCTTCATCCTGTTTTCCCCAAATTTATGATAGATGTAGAAAATATTACAATTCTACCAAAAGAGGAAGAAAGCGTCTATAGGATGACAAAGACCATGTGTGGAAAATTTAAAATTGAGGACAATAGGACTGAATATTTTAGTAATTGGTCAGAGGAGTTCTTCCGTAGAAAGGCAAAGTTATCCCGTCGCTTCGAAGAAGATCCAGATATTTCATTCGTTAAAGTTATAGAAAATAATATATATCTTGCGATTATAGAATTCAAAAACGAAATTGGAGCGGGTGGAGATCCATATATTCAAGCATGCGGATACTATTCAAAGTATATTTTAAAAAAAATTGAAAAGGGAAAAAAACATCCTAACACTTGTCTTCCTACCTTTCTATTATACATAATGGGACCGATGATAGGGATTGCTGGTGCAGTCTATTCACGCGAAATCGTAATTTCTCCTTTAGTTAGTACTTCTCTGATAATACCAAAGGAACTACAGTCAAACTTACTGACAAAAATCACCAGAATATTTTGTGCATTAAAAGCAGGATTGGATAGTATTGACAAATTTCATGTAAATTTGTCACCAGAGATGCTGGATAATTCATTATATTGTGAACAGGTGATATTTCCTTATATTCAACAGTATGTTTCTCGGGACAAAAATCTAATAAAATTTGTATATGTGGAACAATTATTATTATTGCAAAATCAACTTGTATTTCGCATAAAGAGATTGCCAGAAGGAACTAATTGTATCATAAAATTTGTGAAAACATACGGGGATGATGTGCATGAACTTTGCTATACAAACGGGTTCGCACCAGAATTATTTGCCATAAACACAATTAATTTATCAGAATATAAATTAGTGGTTATGGAAGACCTTGAAGAACAGGGGTACAAATGCGTAAGAGAAATATGGCGTTTGCTCTCCTTAGATGACAGAGAGACTTTAAAATCAAAGATTAACCGTGCAATCAAGAATATCCATTCTGCTAAATATGTACATGGTGATATGAGAATTGATAATATAATGGCAAAAATGTATAAAACAGAATGGTCAATTAAAATAGTTAACTTTGATTGGGCAGGAACTTTAAATGAAGCAAAGTACCCGTTATCAATTCTCGATGAAAAATACACAGAATACCATGAAGATGCGCATTATGGTAGTCACATTAAACATGAACATGACTTACACCTCATTGAAAAGTCATATATTCGTTAATATTTTGTATAATTTTTAATAATTTTTTCAAAAATTTTTATATATAAATAAAATTCTTATCTAATAATGAATAAATTTTTTTTGTTTTTAATATTGAAAATGATGTATTATCATTGGTATTTGCACTATTTAAAAAAAAATTTAAAATTTCTTATATGTAAACTAGAGTAGCGCGAGTAACAGGTTAATCTCAATAATCACCACCACCTTTTTTAATGTGTAATTCTTTTATTTTAAAGTGATTTTTTTTATCGATAAATGGATGTATAAATAATAATAAATAACTATATTAAAAAAAATTAATTCTTTTTTTCTGGTGAGTTGACAGTTATTATTTATTTTATCATATAATCAAGTCATGAATACATTTTATTTCATTAAACATTGTTGATATTGATGTTGTTGGATTTATTTTTATATAACATTCCTTTTTTTTTATTTTATTTGTTATGTGGTCATTTGTTACTGGTTTTTCATGTTTCTATATTACAATATGAATTTTGAGATGAATAAGTTGTAGAGAATTTTTAGGTAGTTGAAATTAATTTAAATCATTTTTGATATCGAATATATATAAAATTACCCTTAGAATATTCTTTTCTACACCGAAGATATGACCTTTCGCAATTTCTGCTTGCATACTTATTGGATAGGAATGGAGAGCAGGATTTTTACTTTCGATAATCTAAAATTTAATTTCATCTGTAACCAACTTCTAGATATTCATAAATTACACCTTCCATTAACTTATTATTATCAACAATGATGAAAGAATTGTGAGCGTTATTATTAAAAGCATTTAAATAATATTAAAATAGTATTTTTGTTATTATCATTAATGTTTTTCTACTCCCACAATGGCATTAGCTTCGCATCATGAAAAATTTTCCTGACGTAATATTTATGTAACGTTACGGGGTCCAGCCTAAGTCTACGTCCTGTAATGTTGCGTCCCAAAAAAATTTTAGATGTTATCGTGCTTGCAATAGTTTGTTTATTGTAAATCTTACAAACACAAATATTATGTCGGAAAAAATTTCCTGATGTTAATAATTCCGAACCTATTTCGTTCCTTTAGTGTTAATGATTGAATCAAATCACACAAATGGATTTCAAATTAAACACCATTTCTTTAAAGTTTATTAAAAATAATAGTATTTTTTTAATTAATTAAAATTTTTTTTTGATAAATCTACCTCAGTCTAAAATCAATCATATTTATATATTTTAAATTTTTTCTTTACTTCTTTTTTTTAATAAAAAATAAATTTTTAAAACATTTGCTTATTTGTTTTATTTAGTAGATTTTATTCGACCAAATGATACACTACAGCAAAAAAAAAATTTCTCAGACTTTTATTAAAAAATCAAGAAACACGAAATTTCTTGTATACGTAATCTGTTTTAGTACATTCAATAAATCTCAGTTTCTCAAGATAATTTTTGTAATTTCATCTTATCAATCTTTGGTAATAATCAATAATTCTCTCTAAAAATAATTAGTATATATCTGTTTGTCTGTTTAGTACGTTCAATAAATATCAAGTCTCAATGATCTATTTTTTTTAGAAATAAATAATAAATTTGTTCCTATTATTTTCCTTCTAGAGATCTTTGCTTTTTGTTGTGCAATAATGCATCATCATGATGCTTTCTTTTTCCAACATTTATTATTTTTCTTTCCTCTTGGTAAATTTCATAGGTAATCCTTTCTTTTCTTAGATAAGTTTCCAATGTCTGAGTATCATTTATTTTGAAAATATAAGGTGCAATTTTTTCACCTTGTTCTTTCTTTAAAATACTTCTAATAGTGCTGTAATTCTTGGGTTACATAGTAAATAAGTTTCATATTAACTATTTTTACATAGGAGTAGTTCTATATATCACTTAAGATAACAAATTATAATCACATTACAAATTTTGATCCCTGAAATCCTTAGTAACACCAATGTTCACTTTGTCTGGTTTTGTTGCAGCATGCCCCACATACAATAAATTTCATTTTCAATTGATCAACACCAGCTAAAATTTTAATTGGAGCATGCATATAAAAATTTTCTGAAATATATTATTCTTGAATTGAATAATTACTGATCCATTTAAATTAAACTGTGGTCACGAAGCATGAAAACTTTGATTGATGTGTACATGTATGTATGATATTATTAATAATATACGTAATTAACATTTGAGATATTTTCCAACATCTAAATAAATAAATATCATTAAACTTACTTTTACCAATACTTCTTTGAAGCCCATTTACTTCACGTGACAGATATGTAATATCGTTAGTAATAATGGTACTTGCCAGTCCGTCAATCTTTATGAAACGACTTGTTCTGTTAATCTTGTGATTTGCTAAATTTTCTGGTAGTTTATCCCATTGTCTTAACAAAGAAGAAGGCGGTAGTGATTTTATTGTTTTATTATTATGCAATCCACGCGGTTCTTTGAGTATATTTGAAAATGAAGTAGTTGGTGAAGGAGAAGATCCCGAGATTTCAAAGTCCAACCGCTTTTGCTTTTCATTTTCTATAGTAATTATAGCCTTTTCAATAATTGATAGTGATGACTGTAATACTTTATTGGAATTATTAAATTCGTCTAGCAATTTACTATTACAATATAAATATCTTGAAGAAGTTATTTTTTGGGATTTTAAAATTGAAATTGGATAATTAGAAAATTTTTGAATTTATCATTAAAAAAATATTTATTAACATAATTTTTTAAAAATATAGGTTACACCATCTCTTGATACGTAAAATAAATAAATAAATAAATAAATAAAATAAATAAATCTATTCTTTCGCTTCTTATATTACTTCTCCTCATTCCCGCCCTCGCCCTCTTCACCTTCCACCTCCTCTTTTATTTTAAACCAATCACAAAATCTGATTAATTGATTTGCACCACAATTTTCAGCAATTGATTTAATTTCTACTAAATTTTCTTGAGTTACGTATCTCGAAATAGCTTTCTCACATCTTTGAATCAAATGTGGTATGACAAATCTACTTGCAAAATATATCAAGTCAATCCAATCTTCTAAATCATTTGTATCAATAATTTCATTTGTGTACATGTATAAAAGTATTTTTTCAAGCATTTCATAAGAAATGTCAGGTAATATAAGATATCTATCTTGTGATTCTATCATTTGTGAATTTAAAAGTGCTTTGAAATAATATGATTTATTTGAAAGAATTTGTGCGTGAACATAAAATTGTTCGTTCTCATTTTCATTCTTTCCTTCATTTTCCATATCTTCTTCATTTGTCTGTTCATCTTCTCCTTCCACCAATTCCTCTGTTTTTAATTTTATTGTGAAATCACTTGTTTTTGAATCATTGAAAGTGACACTATCATTATTGCTAACAGTATTTAATTCATCATCACAGATTATGTCATTGACAAGATCAACCTTAATATCCATAACGACGCTTTCATCATCATCTACTAAAGGACCGATTTCTCTTCGTTTTTGATTGAATAATCGAGTAGATTTCCACATAAATCTATTTCCATCATAATCACAGCTCATTTCAACCTTTAACAAAAATCCATATTCACCTTCAAGTTGGTCGGTTAAAACTTCAAATGTGTCGCTTTCCCTGATATTACTTGAGGGATTTAGTTTTGTTTCGAAAGGAATTATTGACCAGGTTGGATTTGGATTTTTGACGGTTGGTAAAGGTGAAATTGAACAAATAACTTTTGATGAGTTTAGGAATGATATAGCATGTTTAAGTTTTATTAATAATGATGAAATCACATAATTTCCTGGTCGATAATCAAATTTCCAAATTATGAATGCTATTGATTTTTCTGTAACTATATGTTTTGAGCATCTTGTCAAACATATATTGTCACGACCTAAATATTCAGGATATAAAATGATGTTTTCACTTTTAAGAGTTCCTCTGTTCCATCCTCTTATATATTTAGTTTTAAAATTCCCATTTTCATAATACGCATTGGTTCTAGTATTATAAGATATTCTATGTTTATACATATGTGGTTTTAATTCATGTTTAATGACATTAAATATAAATTTATTATTAAATATTCCATCTATTTTTCTTGACTTTTCTACTATTTCATCGTTAGATTTATCCTTCATATTCTCGTTAACATTTTCATTAATGCCATCTTCATCTTTTCTTTCATATTCTTTATCTAATTTAGTAGCATTACCAACATTTCCTTCTTTATCTTCATCTTTTACTTTTTTATTATTATCAACAATATTATTTTCAGGTATTTTTTTTAATTGAACTTTAACATCCATTCTAAGACATTCATGCGAATCGGCAACAACTTCACCTTGAACACGTAAATCTTGTCTAAATAATTGAGTATTTTTCCATAATAAACCACCGTTTACTTCTCCTTTCAAATAAAATCCACTATGATTTTTAACAAATTTTTTCAAATTTAGATTTTGATCACTCAACTGATACCCATATCCATCTGACCATGCCTGAACAGGAAAAAAATCTAAACGAATCCAACCAGGGTCGTTTAATAATGATGCATTATTATTATGATTACGATTAGTTGTCGAATTTGTTGATGTTGATGATGATAAAAATGATGGTAAAAATGTTGATGATTTTAATTTATTATTATATTTAGGCATAAATCTTGATCCTGATCCGCCATTGTTAGATTTAAATTTTGATGGCGATATTGGAAGAATGTACCATCTTGCATCAGAAGTGTTATCCCATAATGAATACTCTAATCTTACTTGAAGATCAATAATCTCAAAGTTTCCAGGCGAATAATCAAATTTATAAATTATAAAAGAGGGTAGTTCAGGATACCTCCTATCTTTTGTTAAAAATGTCCTATTAAACATGTATTCAGGTACATAGGACATGTTTTCATATTTATAAGCACCTTTATCCCAAAATTCCAAATATTTTTCTTTGACGTTTCCATTTTCATAATAAGCATCAGTTCTTGTGTTATAGGAAATTCTATGTTTGTAAGTTGTATCGGATTCTTTGATAATATTGCATGGATATTTATTAAATATTCCTTGCAAGGACGACGTTAATGATGACCGCGACGATGATGGTGATGGTGGTGATGATGGTAATGATGGCGATGATGGTGACGATGATGATAACGATGATGAAAATTTTAAACTTTTTAAAGCAATTTCATCATTAAAATACTTTAACGCAGTTTCTTTGTCTACTGATAATGGATAACAAATTTCTTGGAATTGTTCAGCATTAGGACCTTGAATATTTTCTCTGATGTCCATATCACGAGTTTGATATGAATAAGATGGCCTTCGAAAAGCCATTTTTTTCTAGTTAATTGTTAGTTGGTTAGTCGAAATGGGAATACATAATGAATGGATAAAAAAATTTTTTTTATTGGATGTTTGTTTGTTTATTTAATTTATTTATATATATATATTTGTACGACCTATCTTATACTAATACTTCATTTCAATAAAAATATAAAATCCACAAAGTTCATTATCAACATTGACATCACCTTTTAAAGGTTCAAATTTACCAAATAAATTTTCAAACAGTTTTGGAAATTCAACAAAGAGATAATTCATATCACAATCATCTGTATCATAGTTTTTTTCCTGAAGGGTGTTTACAACCATTTTATAAAATATTGATGGGCTAGGTGGAGGAAAGGTGCGTGTGGATTCAAGTTTACCAGTTATTTTCCTTTGAATTTTTTTGATGTGTTCTTTTCGACAAAATCCTTGACATGAATGTGTGAAATTTTCATTGAAATTCATTCCTTGATAATCTTTACTCCAAGAGATGAAATAATCACAATAACGGTCTAGCAATAATCCTTGTGTTTTAACAGATAATTGACTAAATAGTTGGTCTGATTTGTAGACTGAGAAGTTATCAAGAACCAATTTAGACGAACTCTTATAAACATTTTTGAATCTGTAAAGATCAGCTAGGACAAGTGATAATAAAGGTCTAGATGGGAACTCACGTTCCAAGAATTCTTTTCCTCTTTCAATAAATGAATCGACCAAATATTTATCAGCAATTCGAAACAATTCTGCAACATTATCCCAGGTAATCAGTAAACTACTTCCTGGATAAATAAAATCCAAAAGATCTTCAAATGTTTGCATTGGTTCGTCAAGTTCAATGTTTTGAATTCCTTGAGTATTGCTGCTAGTGGCGGCATCTATGAATAAATCTTTGAAAATTTGAGATGCAAGACTTAAAATTAGTTTATGGATCTTAAATGATTTATCTTTGACGATTATTATAATATCACCATCAGGATAATTATGTTTAGATGATAACATCTTCTTAATCAAGCAAGAGTTAAATAATTTTATATGTAAGAAAAAGAATATTCAAGGAATGGTAAATTAATAATAATAAATTCATTTATTATTATTATATTTTTGTTATTTATTATGATTGTTTTTGTTTTTGTTGTTACACCGAATATTACAAATTTTGTGTGTAATAACTTTGTTTTTTTTTTTCTTTGTACACAATAATAAGGAATTGAAGGATGAAAAAATGAGTAAAGAGTGTTCGTAACTTCTGATCATTTTGATAAAAATTTTGTCCGGCTTAAATTCATGTAATTGAAGCAAATTATGTGTTTTATACGTTGATTGTACGCGAATTTAGAAATTTGTCATATTTGAGATCTATGCATGTCAAAAGTGTGAGTTTTATTTTTTCTAAACATTAATGTTAACGCAATATTAAGAATGGCTAAATATTGACATTATTCCTGGTTTAATTCTTTATTACAATAAGGAATATATTGGAGAAGTTTTATCATCATACTTTTTAGAAAGTATTAAATATAAAAAGGGGGTTTTTTAAAAAATTTAAAATTCATTATAGAATCGATCGGCATACCATTTCCCACTTTCTACAACCAAATCCAGGAAATCAACCTGAGCAATCAAGCAACAACATCTCATTTCTTTCCACGTACTCAAAACGAAGTGAAATCAATCAGGGATTGGGGAATGTACCATCGACGCGTGAACTACTCCCCCCACCTTTTGAAATGTGGCACCCTTCGAAAAAGCTTCAAGAACTCTCGGACGAATTCGAGAAAAAAATACTTTACGATCGTCCATCTGTTCCTTGTGCCTATTGTTCTGTGCTGATGATGAGAGCTGCGGTTAAATGGATTGATTACGATCTTGACGAAACTTACGACATAATGATAGCGTTTCCAGACCTCCGATTACCTTTGCGCGTAAACAACAGGGGCCAAACCAAGATCGCTGTGTGTTCATCGTGTAAATCTATGAAAAATCACCGCTTTCCACCTACCCTAGCGGCGATACCTGAGGAAATAAGTGCAGTTCCGATGAAGCATCGCAAACGCATATCTCCAATTCGAGCACAACATTTGCAATGGAACAATAGGAGTCGTTACCAAGAGTATAGACCACAATAACGTCGAGGTCACTTTCCCAACAAACGAAAACATTGTTAAGATCAATGTTCAAAAAGCTACCGCGAACTTTGAAATTAACGGAGTACATGCCTCGAGACACCAATTCCCTTTACAGAACGCTCTTGCGTCAACCGTCCACAAGACCCGAGGCCTAATGTTGCCGCACGTCACCTTGACCATAGATCAAAATATGTTTGCTCCTGGTCAGATCTATGTGGCGATGAGTCGATCTCCTTCCTGGAATTCGATGGACATTTTTGATTTCGATTTCGATTCCTTGAAGGTAGATAGGAATGTGATAAATGAATACAAGAGATTGAAATTGTTAAACGAAAAAGGTCTAATAGAGATGATTCAACGCTGATTTGGTTTTTCATAACAGTAATAGATGTTGAAAAAAACATTTTTTAAAGTTTTCTATTTTGTATAACGTTATTGTATCACATTAGTTAATGTTAAATTAGACTATTTGTATAACGTCGTATCACCATGATAACAATAAATGATGCAACTTCATGATTTAGTACTGTAGTAACAAAACATCTTTGCTGTTTCTTTGTACGTACACATTAGACTATTAATAGATTACTTTGCTCGAGTTTTCGATCGTAAACAATTGATTGGTTAATTCAAATTCCAGTGAAGCATTAATTGGGTCTTTTTGTGTTTTTTGCCACGTCGCCAATTTTGAGAAAAATTTTCCTATTTTGTTCATAGATCTTGTCCTTAATGCTTGTACAAACTATTGAATAATTGATAAAACGTTTGTTAGAATATTTTGAAAGCTTCATAAATCTTGTCCTTAACGCTTACTTCGATCACTCCTATACAAACTGGATCTTATCATCCTCAAAAAACGATGATTCGTTGTCGTCGTTGCTACTAATTATAATTATTGATTGATGGATCTTCGTATATTACAAATGTAACCAATCAAATCAATTAGCGAATTTTTAATTTTTTAAATGTTTCCTTTTAACTAAATAAAAATAAATAATAAAAATTAACAAAAGGAAGGGTCATGTCACGAAGGGTCAATACACCCAACATGAGCCACCCACGTGAGTTCCACCTTCCTACAACGCAGGACTTTACAGCCGGTCCAAAGTGAGGCATTAAACCGGACACAGGGGGCCTTACTTGAGTACTTCGTCATTGCATGACCTTTCCCTGGTCGATACTATTATACCAATTCTATGACTTATATATCAACTTTTTTTCAAATTCATTGGATTAAATTTATTCCATAATTTTTATTTGTGTAATCTAAAAAAAAAAAATAAAATTAAACAGAAAAAGTAAACTGTTAAATACAAGATGTATGTCAACATACGAAGCTTCCAAAGCAAGTCTGTAAAATATACTGATGAACGTTTATCGATTATTGAATAGCTTGTATTGAAATAAGTGTTAAAAGTCAAGATCTATGAATCTGTTTGTAAAATATATTTAATGAGCGCTTTATCAATTATTCAAATAATTATATAGGCGGGCTTGGTAGAAGTAAGTGTTAAAGTCAAGATCTATTTGCAAA